AAAAAAATGTAAAACAAAATAAAATTATTTAAAAAAAAGTGTAAAAAAAAAAAAACTAAAAAAAAGAACAAAACTACTAAAAAAAAGCACAACCCCTCCCTTCCCTCACATAACACACACATATTGTGGTGCACACCATGCACATGCGCTGCAGTGCGTTGTTAGAACGCATCGCAGTGCATGATCTTTTTTATTAATTTTTTTTCTTTAAAAAAAACCATTAAATTCACTGTGGCAGCGCATGGCAAAGCTTTGTGACTCATTGCCATGCGTTGTGATACCTTGTGTTGCAATTAAATATACACCTGTATCATTTTATCACAACACAAACACCAAAACAATTTTTTACATAAGTCGATTATTTACAGTTTTGCATACCTTCATTTTTTTACCTTTTCGCAAAAAGCGCAATTACAAATTTGCTAATGTTTGTTATTAATTAACTCAATACAGTTTTATCTTTTAGATTTAGTCAGAAAATAATTTTTTTGTGCACGGATACTGATTTTGGTGTGTTTTAACAATTGAATTGTGTATTTTTATCGGTTTAATATTAATTTGAGAAACATTTGCGCAATTATCGCAGGGCCTACAAATTTAGTATCACCATCTTTTTATTCTGGGAAACAAAAGCAACACAGAGCGCCTCCATAGTGTAAAACTTTTAACACGCAAGTGAAAATGTACTTACACGAAAGCCAATGATCATAAGCGTAAAAGGAAACTATAAAATATAAAATCTCCAGCAGGGGAAGTCTGAGGGGATCTCCAAATCAGCGTCCTCTGCTCCCGTATGTTTTTTAAAAAGGTCTACGCGTTTCAGGGGCACGCCCCCTTCATCAGAACCTGAGGTGCTAGTTTTACACTATGGAGGCGCTCTGTGTTGCTTTTGTTTCCCAGATCGATGGTCGTTGTTGACCGGTGGGAGCTGCCACTATGGTGTACCAATGAACTTTACAGCCGGATTTCTCTGCAAACCGGGGGCGCCGGTATTGCTTTTTTCAATCTTTTTATTCTACCGGGCCTGCGCTTTCAGAAAATATATGGTTTGGTGGGTCTTTTACAAACACTAGCAACGCAGCAGTTGAAAATCAAATGAATGGGAAAAAATTGCAAAAAATGCAAAAATGGCTTGGCCAGCTGATTTGAAAAATGTTCCGGAGGGCTTGGCAGCGAAAGGGTTAATAGTTAGGATACTTGAATACATTTTTAAGATTTAACTTCTGAGTGTAACCTTAAGTAAGGCTCTTGAAAACAAAAACAAAAAAAATAAAGTAAGGCTCTTGACATCACCAAAGTGATGCACATAATCAGTGAATGTAATGCTACAGAAAGTTGTTAGAGACTGCAGACATGCTACAGGAGTTGTTGGGGACTGAGGACATGCTTCTAGAGACCCGTTATAGAAGACTGCTAGAGAACAATGATTTGTGCACCATAGAGCACCCTAAAAACGACTTGTGCTACATTTACAGGGTTATTCACAACAGGGTGAAACAAAGGGCTGAAAGAAAGAATATGCATGAGCCTTATTTGTACACGTAACATTGATATACTAACACAAAACTAAAGTGAGGTTATTTTTACACATTCAGGAGGTAAACATGCTTGTCTTTGCCTTCATTTATAAACTAAACTATCTGAAATAGAGCTAGAGAAGCAGCTGAGATGAGGTAGTGTTCCTGACAAGGAAACTAGATAGAAACCAATGCAAATAAGAAGGTGCAAATGGACTCATACAGATTGCATTATAGGACTTGCTACTGCACCAGATAGATAAGACTCTGCCAGTTTACTAAATCTTAATACAAACAGGCACAACAACAGAATCTCCATAGTGTGCAACACATACAGCACAGATCTCACATTATCCATAGTATTTAAGACTGGGAAACATACACAGAACCACAACCCATATCATAACAGTTAGCTATAACCATTTAGATTTCATCTAAATATAAGAAAAAAAACATTTACAGGTATTGAACTTGGCACATAAGTAGGCTTACATCAATGTCCCCCTATGATAAATCTTCCTATACCATGTGCAGCATATGGGCACAGAAGTGGGATCTAGGTGTTCCAACCTTAGTACATTCAGGGAAAGGTGTTGCAAGTCACATCTTAATCCATACAGCTCTAGTGTGCTGCTGTTACTATACCAATGCACACAGACTGGGAAGTGGCGGACTCACCAAGCACTTCATCATATCACACAACACTATCTACCAGCACTGTGTTCAATTTTCTCTGCATCAGTCTGTGATTGGTCAGGACTGAGGATGGGCAGGCTCTAGGGCTGCAATTTTATGGTAGTCAGAAAGCCATTGTTATAATGAGTGTTGTGTGGAATAAATTGTTTCTGGTACACAGCAGGTGGTGGGCCATGTATTGGGCACCTGGTCTCTAGACATTCATTAGGCTCTCTCCTTTCTTCTAGTGACTGGTGGAATCTCATAAAAATTGCTAATTCATTACATTCATATGGTGCCCTGTTACGAGTAGCCAAAAGCCATGAAGTCTATTATAATAACAACTGATGCAGAGTCAGAAAAGATCTAATTTCTTTATTATGATTTCATTGAACTGGCAAGTAAAATGCTGCAACCTCTATATTGTCACAAGACTAACGGTTTAATGTACAACATCCTGAATCTTCTTGTGATTACCTTATTGCTATCTCCCTTTTTCCCTTTTTGCAAAATATATTACTTTACAGTATTTTTTATCGTACATAAAAGGGTTTTTCAACAGTCTTCCAACACTTTAGTTTTCACAAAATATGAAATGGAAAAGAAAAAAACTGATTGCTAAAATTCGTCATTCCACTGGGAATTAAGCCAGAATGTATGAAAACCTTTTTACTATAGTTCGGTGTGCTTTAATAGCAAACAGTCCCACTAGGTCTAGAAATGGAAACAGAATGGTGAATGAATGTTGAGGTTTCCAACTAGCAGACCAGTGCTTAGCCCAGAAAACATTCAATACAGTGTCGCCTCTTAGTGTTTTTTTTTTTTTTAGTATAAACAGGGTTTCCATCCTCTAGTTCCATATGATCTGCTGAACAAACAATGTCATTTAGTATCATGAAAAGTAGGCAAAGCAACTATTTACTAGTGTAACTCCTACGATGAAACAGTTGAGCCACTTTTAATCAACAGCTTTCCATACATTAATAAAACAAATGACACATTGCAAAAACTGCTTTCTGCTTGGGAAAGCACTTACTAATGATAATGGCACTTGTTCTTGAAATAGGCACAGCTCGATTCTTGCATTCCATCTCCTTTAGCTAACATACAATTCCTCCTTTTTTTTTTTTATAAAAAGCCCTATTTAATGTAACACTCATGTTTTTCAGTTAATGTAACACTCATATTTCTCAACTGATTACTTCCTTGGTGCCATTATACCAGGCAAGAGCAACTCATCCACTTGGAGTTACTTATACAAGTATGATTTCATACTTATATAAGTAACTCCCACTTGGAGGTACTTATATAAGTATCTCCAAGTGGGTGAGTTGCTCTTGCCTGGTATAATGGCACCAAGGAAGTAATCTGTTGAGAAATATGCGAAAGACATAATTTTCCATATAAAACAAGAAGTCACAGTATTAAAATGCAGGGGCCTTCGAACACGTGAGCATATATTGCCATAAAAACGCCACCCTAAATCTATACAGTCACAAGATAGCACTTTGTTTACATTTAGAAACAAAATGAAAACTGAGCCCATGGGCTGTACAAACACAGCAATTTGAAAAATCTGCTAGACAGAATTCTGCATCACTATCGATTGGCTCAAGTTTTATGTCACATTTTTGGGGGTATCAGATGTAAACAGCTATATTCCCGTACCTTTTCTATTGGCTATGAAGCACTATCCCTCACATCTTAGTTACATTTCTTATTTCTCAATGTACAGCCAAAAAAAAAGCATGTTTCTTACTGGTTGTATGTGAATCATTCAGGAATTAAAAAAAGGACATGTTAGGCTCCATTCACAAAACTTTCAAATAAGAATAAGGATCTTTATTTTGGCAATGTGACTATAATTTGAAAATTTCATTAGACTCCGCTGAAAAAAAATAACTTTTTTAAAAAGTATCCTTATCCTGTTGTATTAGCTTTGTGAAATGAGCTTATTATGTTGCGATGTTTCTATATTAAAACTCCCACAACTCCTCCCCAAGGGAAAAAGGATGAAGACACTTCAGATTTGGCAGCATTAAAAAATGTGCAACACCACACGTTAATGTGATAAAGAAAAAGATACAAAAAGAGTACTCCTTTGTGAGGGCGGAGGACAATAAAAGGCAGTTAGTGTATGAAGTTATACTTACCTTTGAAGATCCAGCATCATGATTTATTTTTCCAATAATCTTTTACTACCCACACTTCTAATGCCTGTCTGGTTACTGAATAGTCCCCTATTAAATTCAGTAGGGCCAAAATAATTCTGACAAGCAAGATCACATGATCAGTGATCAAAAAAAGATAAACAGAAAATATATCTATAGGCTTTGGTGAACTAAACAGAACAAATGGAGAGAAAATATTGTCCAGTGTAACAGAGACTGAAAGTGGACTAGATAAAAAAAAACATGCAGGTCAAAGTAAAAAACAGAAGATTTCATGCTATAAGAGTTTAAAAAAACATATAAATCATGATTTATGCAATTCTGAGTGCCTATTCACAGTATTCCAACTGTACATAAGTGATCATTGGACCATCTAATAAAACGTTACTTCAGAAGTGCAATTAATAAGTAGGAATGTGCTCTCTCATGAGAGATATATTAAAGCTATCATATTTTGAATAACGCATTTAAAATGACATTTTTTAAAAAGTTTCCAGGCTACGCTGGCTTAGGTGTTAAAATATGTCAAAGGTTAGGATAATGCTCCTGTTGTCTAAGACAGGTTTATAGTAAGTATCAAAAACGCATATGATAAAAAAAAAAAATATATCTACTTTCTACTGTTTTGAAGGAAAGGGAGCTGCACCAAATGGGTCTAAATCTAATGGCTGTGCCTGTGTTTGCTGGCTCTGCTGATGTGTTACACTTTGTATCACTAATTCTGTGAAAGGCACTGCACCAAAGTCATCCATTTTGACATTATCACTGCTAAGATATGCTCCGTGTAGTGAACCTTGTCTTGGTCTGCCAGTTGTTGCCTGGTGGTGATCTCCACGGTAATCTGCAAGTCCGTGATGCTGAGGTTGTTTCAAATCTTGAGGATGAAAGGGCTTGGCACCAAAAGGGTCCACCATGGTTTCATCTGTTTGTAAAATGTTGTTACGATCCTTCACATCTGTAAGGGAAATGCTAATATTTTCCTTTGAGTCGGATATTGTGAGAAACTCGTTGCTGCTTTGCGAGTCCCGCCTCCCTCCTTTTTTGTGCCGACGGACTTTTTCTGGAGTGCGGTAACTGGGCTTGATGGTTTTCTTCGTGCTAGAAGGAGTGCCATGATGACGTTTGCCATTGTTGTTTGCTGTCTCTTGTTTTGTACGTCTCTGGCGAGAGGATATTTTCTGCATGTTGCGTTGCTGCTTAACTTTGTGTAGTGTCTGGCTTTCAGCTATTTCATCAAAGGGCACCAAACCAAAAAGATCCTGCTCATTACATGAGCTTGTTTCTTGTGTAGGCTGGAAGGGTGCGCACCCAAACATGTCCACATTAGCAGAAGAAACTGGAGATGTGACCTGATCGTCCTGCTGATCTTGCTTTCTACTAAATGGCGCTTGTGAGAACACATCAAATTCATCTTGTTCTCTGGCATTCCTTAATGTTGTGGGAGGATTCTTGAGGCATTGCTCCTCAGGTTGATTCTTTTTTGTGCTAATGCAGAAAAATGGCACAGCCCCAAAAGCATCTAATTGTTGTTTACTTGCATTGGTCACATTCTTTTTGTTTAGCGACTGAGCTGTCTTTTCCTTGTGATTACTTTCTGGAGCTTTTGCTTGCCTGCTACTGTTAGCATTCACACTAGACAATTTGGCTTTAGTACGGTCATAGTCTGAGTCCGAACTGTGTTTTTCTTCTTCCTCTTCTTCATCAGAATCCATCAACAAAGGTCTCTGTCCAATACTTTCTGGCTCAGTTTCATTGTCTTCATGAAAAACTGCTTGATCCCCCTGTAATGCTTCTTCATCTTCCTGATCCTCTTCTTCGCTGCTTTTGGGAGAAGGTGGATCTGATTCAAAGTCACTCTCAGAGTCTGCTCCTTCTTTTGCAGTCTTCCGAAAGGCAGGCCCTTCTTGTATATTCTGCCACTTCGTCTGCTCTTTTGAAGATTCATTTTGTTTTACATCTTTGCTTGGCACTTTAGCAGCACTATCAGCTACTTTTTCAGATATTTTTCCAAGGGAACCTAAAAAAATAAAGTAAAATTATAAACCGCACAGAAATGAAAACAAAAAAACATGAGCAGATATCTAGTACACCATTTTCCCTTGATGCTGGCTATGTCCATGATGTGGACATTCGCCCTGTTTGTCCTATCAACGAGACAGAAAGTGATGGAAAATATTCCAAGGATGACCCTTGTTCCTAGTGACAACTGTGTCCCTTACTTTCTGTTGAATCCCTTGAACAGGGGCTGTTCAAGGGATACAACAGAACATTATACTTAAAGCCAACAGTTTTGGCTTTAAGTATAATGTACATGTATCTTAAATCAGCCCCTCCTGTTCATTATTGTGAGTATAGAGATCTTCTGAGATTGAAATTTCAAAAAGGCCTTCAAGAGTAGGTGTAATATTCTGAAATAATGAAAACAGCAGTAGGGTTACCTAAGCAGCCAGAAAGTAGCACAGAAATAAATATCAAAATGTTGAACAACTTTAGTCATCTTTTGCAGCTAAAGAAAAGAGAGAGGGAGTGAGTAAAGAAGGGCCCAGGAGAATAAGTAGGGAAGAAGAAAAGGGACTGAGAGGAAGGAAGATAGGTTGGGAAGGCGGAACATCTGATTTCCAAGATAATGAACTCGCTGACATCAGACTTCCTTTAGCATCATGTTAATATCTAACTGTAGATTTGGTTTCAGTCTTCAAGCTAAAAACTTTTATTTACACATATTTCTCAATAGCCACAAAGCCATCTACTTTATGTGCACCAAATGCCTTTACAAACCCACATATTGCCTTAGGAAGTAGCCATTATCACTGTGCTGCACATAGCCTGTACAGAGAGTACAATTATGGGTAGGAACAGTGGCGGAACTACCGCCGGTGCAGCCAGTGCCGCCGCACCGGGGCCTGAGGCTGTGGGGGGCCCAGTGGGGTCCGGTCCTGGGCACCCCCACAGCCTCAGTGGGGTCCAGTCCTGCAATATGGGGCAGTGCAGGGTCCCGGTGTTAGAACACCGGGGCCCCGCACTGCCAACGGGCTTCTCAGTGAGGGGGCGGGTCCTGTGACTCACCTCCTCTCCCCCAGGCCGCGTCCATAGTAACAGGTGGCGGGAGAGGAGAAGTGAGTCACAGGATCCGCCCCCTGCACACACCATCTGTCTGAGACTGAGCTGCAGTGAGGATCTGGCCGGGTGAGTCCAAGCGGGGAGGGGTGGGGGCTTTGTTTGGGAGGGTTGTGTGCTGTAACAATATAATATAACAATTGTGAGACAAGTGTATTATAATGGGGAATATTACACTATAATCTATTTCTCTGATTAAATTATTACAGACAGACCTCTGTTCTATAAATGTTTGAGACCACGTTACAATGTGTGACCGGTGACGTGGTCACACATTTTAACGTAATCTCGCCCAGTTTTTCGGTGGTGGAATAGGTAAAGAATTCGAACGCTTTATCCCAGGGCAGATCGGCATCGCCAATCGTATGTGCAGGAGAACTGATCTGCCCTGGAACAGCTGTTCTGTCCTGAAATGTCACTTCTATCCGACTTTGTGAGTACGCTGGAATGTGAGATCGCAGTCGGAGAGAAGTGACATTTCAGGACAGAACAGCTGTTCCAGGGCAGATCAGTTCTCCTGCACATACGATTGGCGATGCCGATCTGCCCTGGGATAAAGCGTTCGAATTCTTTACCTATTCCACCACCGAAAAACTGGGCGAGATTACGTTAAAATGTGTGACCACGTCACCGGTCACACATTCTAACGTAGTCACAAACTTTCATAGAACACCGCCATCAGGGGGGTATGGCCGGTAGCGATGTGAGGGGTCTGGGGAGCCTGGGGGGCCTTTTACATGGGTAGCAACTGTACCGGGGCGGCATGGCAGAGGTGACAGGGAAGGGGGTGGAGGAGGCCGGGCCCCAGCAGCAGCAGGTAAGAAGAGTTGGGAGGAGGTACAGGGAAAGGAACCCCGACGACCAGACCAGCCCATCTGGGACCCTGCAGAGCCCACCATAGAGAGTCTCAGGTGGGCTATGCAGGATCTATGGTGTGCTCTGCAGGGTCTCAGGTAAGTCCAGCACGCTACTGCAACATTAGAGACCGCTGGGGGGGGCGGGGGCCAGTGTGATCTGCTCCTGCCCCCCCCCCCATCTTGGGAAGGGGGCCCAAGATAAAATCTTGCACCAGAGCCCTTTGGTTATTAGGTCCGCCACTGGGTAGGACCCAGCAGGTCACTCCACTACAGGTCCCTTGCAGAAAACTACAGTGAGTGGATACAAGACCAGTCACCTTGCACAAAGAATCAGAGCAACAGTGACTGGTCTTTATTACAGGTATATCCTGCACAGTGGTAAAGTGCAGAAGATATTTCATGCTCGAAAACTGGTCTGATCTGGAAGAAATAGACAAAGGAGACCAAGATTAAAAGTAAAATGCCTCTTGTGCTTAGACAATATTTCTGTAGCCTGGAGTTCAGCTTTAAAATTATTTATTAACATTCATTTAAAAAACAAATGCACAAATGAGATGTCACACTGCCTCTATGTCAGGAAAAGTTTTGATGGCTGCTTCTACTTTGTGGGAAGTATTCAAAATACCACCGATGACAGGGTTCAGTGTGGACAATAGGGGTCCCAGCTCAGTCACCCTGCAGCAGTCCTTCTTTGGACTATGACCATTTGCTGACTGTAGACCATAATACACATAGAAAATATAAACAAGTGTGCAGAAGCAGGCCTATTTCTACATTTCACTGTGCTGTTTTTCCAGTTTTAGAATGTATCTGTTGTCTAGAAATATAACCTGCAGAGCACGTTATTTGGACATCTGACTTTCCTGTCTTGAACTCTGCAGTTTAAAATGGAGGAGAAAATATAAGTGAAAACAACTCAGGCATCAACATCTGCTGCCAATGCAAGGGCTTAAATTTCTCCACTTATAATCGTGTCTGTAGCCTTTCAAGGACAATTGCTCATCCCTCCAGCAACAGCCAGGGGAACATCTTTAATCATACAAGATCATCCCAATCTTCAAGGAAATGTTATGTTCTGATGTTCTTTTTCCCAACATCCGATTAATCCTGATTAAGGCCTCGCAACTAGTAATTACATGCCTTCTGCTGCATCGTCATCTGGGGGTGGGAGCAACAAGCTTTAGGTTTTCTCTCAATTGGTAACATACTGATGCCATCATTTCACAGCAATTGGCCACATGTCAGGCCCAAGGATTAAGGAGACATTTCACCTAAATCTACACAATTTCTTTGAGGACTGGCACAGAAGCATCTGTTCAACATTGCTGGAGATTTGTGGCTCCGATGTTGCTGTTTTCAAGATGCACAAAACTGGAAATTAAAAAATGTCTGTGAGGTTTATATTTTGTAACATAAATCTTTAATGTAGGTCAGCCATAAAATACATCAGCTCGTTAGGGCAGCTGCTGAGAAAGGTTTTAAGCCTTACATTGTGAATTTCTTAAATAGGAGAATGCAAAATAAATTGGTTTGTCAAAGAAGCATTTCATGTAATGATGTGGTTTGTCACATGATAAATGAGAACAACTTGGGCCAAGAAAAATTATAT